TGCTCTTAAGTCAGTCCCAGGAAGACTGCAGTTAGTGACATAGATGTAAATCCCTGCCCTCATGGAGCTTACCTTCTGGTGAGGAGAGAGAGAATAAACACTAAGAAGCAAAACGTAAGCAAGAATTGCCTCTTTAAAGTCCTTTCTCACTTGGTGTGGACCTGTCATTCATTCTGCCAGTGAATGTTTATTGAGCATCAGGAAACTGCTAGAGTAGGGGATGGGAGCCTAGGGTTCTTGTCCACAGGAGTGCACAGTGCTGGCAGGGACAGGGAAAGTGGTTAGGGAAGGGGACAGGGTAATACAAGGGGCTTAATGGCTCTATAAGAAAAGGCTGATTTCAAATTTTTTCAGGAGCACATAAAAATAGAGCAGCTCTAATTGTAAGTCAAATGCTATTAGCAGTAGCATAGCATGTAAGACTTGCAGGTATATGGAGAAATGGGTCGTAGGTGCCATACTGCTTTACAGCAGTACTGGGCTTTGTGCCCAGTGCCTGGAACACACTGGGATGCCTCTGATGTCACAGCTGACAGAGACCTCATCAATCACTGGGGCTTCCAGAGTGTCCAGAGGGTTCCAAACCACTAATAGTTTAACTGAAGAGCTCGATACATACTGAAGCACTATCCACTTGATTAAGCTATCAATCCATTTAATGAAATCACTTAACAGCCACCAAAATAAATAAGTTAATGTCATAGCACACTCAAATTTACTTATATTTGATACAGTGTCTGGAACAGGATAGAAAGCCTAGAAATAAGCCCACACACCTATGGTCAACTAACCTATGAAAAGGAAGCAAGAATGTATAGTGAAGAAAAAGACAGTCTCTTCAGTAAGTGGTGCTGGGAAAACTGGGCAGCTACATGTAAAAGAATGAAATTAGAATATTCTCTAACACCATACACAAAAATAAACCCAAAATGGATCAAAGACCTAAGTGTAAGGCTGGACACTATAAAACTTTTAGAGGAAAACACAGGCAGAACACTCTTTGACATAAATCATAAATCACAGCAATATCTTTTTGGATCTACCTCCTAGAGTAATGAAAATTTAAAAAAATAAACGAGACCAAATTAAACTTAAAAGCTTCTGCACAGCAAAGGAAACCATGAACAAAATGAAAAGACAACCCACAGAATGGGAGAAAATATTTGCAAACAAAGCAACCGACAAGGGATTAATCTCCAAAATATACAAACGGCTCATGCAACTCTATGTCAAAAAAAACAACCCAATCAAAAAACGAGAAGACCTAAATAGACATTTCTCCAAAGAAGCCATACAGATGGCCAAAAAGCACATGAAAAGATCACTCATGTGATCACTAATTGTCAGAGAAATGCAAATCAAAACTACAGTGACATTTCACACCAGTCAGAATGGCCATCATCAAAGTGTACGAACAATAAATGCTGAAGAGAGTGCGGAGGAAAGGAAATCCTCCTACACTGTGTTGGTGGGAATGTAAATTGGTACAACCACTATAGAAAACAGTATGGACATTCCTTACAAAACTAAAAATAGGACTACCATATGACCCAGCAATCCCACTCCTGGGCATATATCTGGAGAAAGACACAATTAGAAAATATTCATGCACCCCAATGTTCATTACAGCACTATTTACAACAGCCTAGACATGGAAGCAACCTAAATGTTCATCAACAGAGGAATGGATAAAGAAGGTGTGGTACATATATACAATGGAATATTACTCAGCCATAAAAAAGAATGAACCTATGCCATTTGCAGCAACATGGATGGACCTAGAGATTTTCATACTAAGTGAAGTCAGAGAAAGACAAATATGATATCACTCATGTGGAATCTAGTTTTTAAAAATGATACAGATGAACTTATTTACAAAACAGAAACAGACTTACAGATACTGAAAACTTATGGTTACCAAAAAGGAAATGTGGGCAGAAGGGATAAATCAGGATCTTGGGATGAACATACACACACTACTACATGTAAGACAGATAACCAACAAGGACCTACTATATAGCACAGGGTACTCTACTCAATATTATGTGATAACCTGTATGAGAAGAGAATCTGAAAAAGAATGAATATATGTATATATAACTGAATCACCTTGCTGTACACCTGAAATTAACACAACATTGGAAATCAACTATACTCCAATAAAATTTTTAAAAAATACTTGATCCAGTGTCTTACATGTAAAATCAGAGTTTTGATTTGGATAATAGGGATACTAGCTATTATTTATTAAGTTCCTAACTTTGGTCCAGTTACCATGCTAAATGCTTTATATACGTGTTTTCATTTAATCCTCTTCACAACCCTATAAGATTTGATATTGTCATCTTCATTCCCATTTTAAGGATGAAATCACAGAGGTTTAAGAGAGACTGAGTAACTTGCCCAGCAGCTGACTGGGCAGGGAACCCACAGCCTGAGCCTTCCCAACTGGACTGCACTGCCAAGTTCTCTGCAGGAGAACAGGGGAGTAAGAACAAAACTCATCTGCATAACTGAGGCTTAAATTCATTACTTTTCTGGAGCCTGTTTTTAAAATATTCTGGAAAACACCGTGGAATCTTCTTATTAGTTAGATGCAAGTCTGAAGTCCATGTGAGGACCAGGAATTGTATTAGAACAGACGTGACACAATTTAGCAGCTCTCTATTGAGTATTTTAAAACTACAGATGTACCATACCAGGACTCCAAAGGTATGGTTCAAATCCTGGCTGTGTGGCTTCTAGTGAATCCCTTTCTCTCTCTGGGCCTCAATTTTGGTGTCTATAAAACAGGGAGATTAAACTAGGTCAGGGGGTTCTAATTTGATTTTGACCACAGAGCTCTTTTATTCAAGCAAAATCTTACTTGGAATCTAACATATAAAACACACTAAAAGCTGAGTTTGTCAGGTTTTTTTTTTGAGGGGGAAAGGTCCCCACAGGCCAGGTCCTTGCTCATCTCCTCAGCCCTGGAGGCCCCTCCCGGAGCCCTAGCACAGAGCACGCAGTTCCAAAAAGCACAGGTGGAAAACCACTGCCCTGAATCACCTCTCAAGATGCTGTGCTCCTCGCCACCCAGAGGTGCACAGCGTCTGTCACATAGTAGGCACTTCATAAATACTTGTGAGGAAACGAATGAAATATTACTTTGCCTTTTCGGAAATGTGGATACGTAGTTTTCATTTCCTCTGCTGATTGACCCAGGTAGTTAAAGTGCTAAGATGGATCCTGGGGGAAACCAAATGTTACATTTATGGAAAAGCTGCTTTTAGATACTAAAGTGGCTTCCAAGTTCAGCGTGGCCATAAGTTAAGGGTCTGTCAGCACTTCCATTATGAAAACCACTTTGTGGTTTCATAACTTAGCCGTAAAAGTTTGCTTCAGGCTATCCCTCGGCATACAAATTGAAAACCTTGCTTTAAGCCAAAATGTGGGAATTAGAATACAACAATTTATTGGTTTCAGACGTAGTTTTGTACCCGTCTTAACCAAATAAGATTTATTATGTGGGCAATTAGAGGGAACTAAACCACTTGGTTCTTGAAGAATAAAAAAGGAGGAAAATAGCCAAACTATTTATATTTTAAAAGTTGTGCCTGGACATGATCAGTCATTCTTTTGGGTCCTATTTTTATCAATTACTTTGTCCCCTGAATTGATGAGACCTGGAGTCTATTTACACATTCTTTTTCTTTCTTTTTTTAAATAAACATTTTCTGTTAATGACATCAGAATGATAAAATAGCCTTGTTTTTACCAGAAAGCAAGCAACATAAATGAGAATAATGTCAAAAAAAAAAAAGCTTAATCCTGCTTTTGGTAAATACTTTGAGAATGGCAAGTGGCTCATTTTAATGAACAAAAAAGACATCAGTAATGAATAAAATAGGGAAGGAGATGAGACATTGTCCCTCAATGTTAGAGCTGATTAGAGCTGAGAAGTCACCTAGTCAACTGACTTAACAGATTGGGAAACAGAGGCCTCAGCAAAGAGAGACCAGCCTGAACACATCCTGCGACTACTAACCTCAAGGATGAGAACCAGGTCTTCTACAGCCCAGTCTGGCGATCAGCTCATCCCTGTTTCCCACCCATGTAACCATTCAAGGCCCGGAGCCTACATTTTTCTGACCTACTAATGTCTAACATGACACACACACACAAATGCCCCTAGTCACATAAAAATACACCTTCCCACGCACAGCGTATGAGGCCCTTTGTGACTTTGGTTACCTCAGTCACAAGCTATGTACCATCAGTGTCCTTGTTATAAACTTGTTTTCTGTCCTCTTTGGGCCAAGCACAGTTTTGAGCACCTAGAGACAGTGGGTTGGTTACTGGGTCTCGCTGATCTGACTATGGAGAGACCCAGGTACTGGGCTTGTGAGCAGCTTAATAACATATGGCTCTGTCCTCTAGCTCAGAAATGCAACTGAACAAACCAGGTTGTAGTTACTGTTTATCTGCTCATGACTGAAGCGGATCATGTATTTCTGAATCTGGTCCAATGCTTGACAACACTGTTACAGTTCCGGGGGACAGACAGATTTTGTTCAAGGTTTAGAGCCTCCCTCCTCTGTTACTAAAGCACACCATTGAAAATGTCTGCCTGCATGTCTGACTTCTCTTGCAGACTGCACTCTGGGGCAGGAACCCAATCTCATTCCTCTCTCTATCATCACTGTCTGGCACAGGGAAGGTACTCAACAGATATTTGTTGAATGAGCAAATGAATGAATAAATGAAGGACCAGATGCATGCATTCACTGATAGGGCCCATCTCTCTCTGAAGTGGCTTCCCCAGGTCTCTCCTTCTCCACCCCTTGTGCCCTGCACAATCTCCCCACTCTGCAGAAGCCAGTCAGACCCTCAGCAGCCACGACTTTTCTTTGCAGAAGTACTTTTGAGAGAGAATGCAATTCTGGGAATAACAGCCCAGGAAAGTATTTTCTTAAGTCAAAGGGGAATTTGAGTTGGAAAACCAGGAAATTCTTAAATACCTGGGTAGAAGATCACAGCCCACTCCAACCTCTCTGGTTTCCACTTCAGTCTTGGGCTGGGTTTCTATTAAATAGTCCAACCTGCTTTGTAGTTCATTATTCTAGAGATGAGGAAAAAAGTACTTTCAGTAAAGCAATTACGTTCCCCCACAAATACGTATGATACAATTTATATGTATTATCTGGATTTCCCCCTAGACACAGACATCTATCACAATGTATTTATTAAGCACCTCTTACACAGTAGGAATTGAAGAACATTGATTGAATCCTTACAGATAGAGTGCATAGACATACATATGTATCCAATTTTACCTAAATGGAAACAAACAAAATATCCTACTCTATACCATTATTTGCTGCTTTTCCCCACTCAACAATTTGTTGTGACTCTTTCCATGTTTATTAGTTTTCTTTTTATGTTAACAAATTATTTTAACGGGTTCATAGCATTCCATTGTATGGATCTACATTATTTAACTAGTCTCTTATTGATGGCATTTAGATGTTTATCACTTTTTCTGCAATTATAAATAAGGTACAGCTCATGTTTTAATACTCCCTCATTAAACTATAAAATGAGTAAGTCTATTAATTTACTGGGAAATACCTCTGTAACTTAATAATTAGTATTTCATAGGTGTGGAGAATTCAGAATCTCAAACATATAAAGTAGAACAAGTTCCTTGGGATTAAAATTAGCATTCTGAATAGTTTCTTTTCAGGCCAGAGCCAAACATTACATAGGTTGATGATTAGATGCTCAGGAATTGGAAATTTGCCCTGTGGGGAAATGAAGGACAAGGGAGCAAGAGTGTTGAGGGTTTTGAAATGAAAATAGATGAAGTGTTGGACTTCCCTCGTGGCACAGTGGTTAACAATCTGCCTGCCAATGCAGGCGACACGGGTTCGAGCCCTGGTCCGGGAAGGTCCCACATGCCACAGAGCAGCTAAGCCCGTGCACCGCAACTAGTGAGCCTGCGCTCTAGAGCCTGCATGTCACAACTGCTGAAGCCCACGCGCCTAGAGCCCGTGCTCCACAGCAAGAGAAGCCACCACAATGAGAAGCCCGCACACCACAACAGAGAGTAGCCTCCACTCGCCGCAACTAGAGAAAAGCCCGCATGCAGCAACAAAGACCCAATGCAACCAAAAATAAGTTAATTAATTAAATTTAAAAAGATAGATGAAGTGCTGGTGCTTAAAATCCAAAGGCCAAAAAGACACATTTAAAAAAATTCAGAGATTTTTGGATTTTTTTTAAGTTATTCTATATATTTTCTGTAATACTAGACTAAATTTTCATGAGGCAGTGACCGTAACTATCTTTCTGGCTGTATTATCAGAGCATGTATGTAGCAGACGCAAGATAAATTTATTATTGAATAAATGTATATATGCTTTTAAAATGAGCATTTTATTTGCATAACTAGAAACAAATTAAGCATTTGTCTTTTCTTTTTAAGTTGGAGCTGAAGCTAAGGCACTGTATTCCAAGACACTAGACAGCACATGAAAGTTGAGAAGTTCTTTGGAAACAGAAGCTCATTTGTTTTGAAAGAGCTCCTGCTCTAAATGTCTGATACCAAGGTGCAAAGCAGCAGCTCTGGTACAAACTCATGTTCTGCAGGATGTAAAGGTCTAGGAATCCCTTCCGATAAATGGGAAACAGTATAAAGGAAGAGAATGCATTCCAGGTTCCCTAGCAGCTAACAAGCCATGACAGATCTGTGGGCTCTGCATCTGTCACCTGGTGCTCAGTATGGGAGAATGGTGCTGGCTAACTGCCAGGGGTTCCTCACCATTTACACACACACACAGACACACACACACAGCTTCACTGAAAATATTTGAACTCTTCCATTCATATGGAAAGAGAAAGGCAGAAGAGGCCTGCCTATTAACAAGCTTCAGCAATCCTACTGTTTTATCCTTTCTTAATGTAGACTTTAATCACGAGGATTTCTTAAAATGCTGGGCTGAGTTCCTATAGTTAGGGGGCATAAAAGACAAGGTTAGCAAGCGTGCCCCAACTGGTATACAGTGAATAGTGTACTGGTAGCCCCAATTCCTTTGTTCTGTTCCAGAGGAACTCTATGTGTACGCATCAGCTATCCACTGAAGCACTGATACAAAAACTTATACGCTTAGAAATGTAATACTATCAGTTAAAAACAAAAAAACAATAAAACCCTGAGTATGTATCAGGTAGCATGTAAAATCAGGTAGGGGGAGGATATTGGCAGTTAAAGAAATAGGTCGTGATTTGCAGCCTTTGAGGAGCTCAGTCTTTTGCAGGTAGAGACACCTAAGCAGAAAATCACAGAACAAAGTCACAAGTCCCATGCCAGAGGGACCTAGAGAATATTATGGGGTGATTCAGAGGGGATGCCTAACTCAAAATGGGGAAAAGGACTGAATTGGCTGTGAAGATTTCCTGGAATTATGCAAGGGGAAGAGAGTAAGGGAAACAAAAGGGTAAGTAATCCAGAATTATGGAAACATACCAGATTGAGAACAGGCACCTGACTGCAGTATACAGGAGGGCAGGAGTTGGTTATAAAGGACTATGTATGCCATTACCAAGACTCTACACACAATCCTATAAGACCAAGGTCAAGATTTTATTTCAAACACTTGGGCTCTGAGTGGAAATTATACTGGAAGGAAATAAAACTATAGGCAAGGAAGATCAATCAAGGAGGTCATTGCAATTTTCCAGGTAGAGTGAGAGCTGCACTTCAAGTATATAGGAGTAAGCTCATAATGAATAGATCCTCCTTCAAAGAACAGCTATCAACCTTGGACAAAAGATAACTGCTGAGGTCTTTAAAGACTCAACAAGGATGGGCAAGTTTTAGAGGGGAGGTAAAGCTTGGAGCAAATGACAAGCACTGAATGGGTTCTCTGTGATTCATTTGTTTTTGTTTGCAGCTTTGCCCAAGGGCAGTACAGTCATGGTGCTGGCAGCACAGACACAGTAAAAATTCAATAGAAAAATCATCTTTCTGGTAGAAGAAAACCAGTAGGAGTCTACAGGATAGAAGAATAACCATGGTTACCAAGAGTAAGGGGGAAGCCAAAAAGGAAGGGTCAGAGAAGACTGAAGTTCTGAATTCTGTATATAAACTCAGTTCGAGTCTCTGGCAGACCCCTGAATCACGTATGTGTGGGGCAAAGTAAAAGAAGTATGCAGCCAAGGCGTAAAGAACTGAACTGAGATCTAAGCCATCACCCACTACATTATGGCAGGGTGCAATTGAGTCTAACCAGACTCTTTACCTTTTAAAACAATCACAAGCCTATTTTCCTTTACATCACTGATGAAGGAGTTAAAAAAAAAAAAAAAAAAAACCAGAAAGAAATAGAAAATATAAATATAAAACAAATGGTAACTTTAGAACAGAAAAATACAATGCCTGAAATTTAAAAGTCACTAGATTGACTTAAGAAAAGAATGGATATGACAAAGGAAGGAGTCAGTAGTAAACTTGAGGACACAGAGACACATTAATAGAAATCAATCAAAATAAGATAAAGAAAATGTTGAAAATAATAAATGGAACTTCATGGAACTGTGGGACAATTTCTAAAAGCCTAACATAGAGATGCTGGAATCACAGAAGGAAAGAAGGGAGAAACTTGAGAAAAAAATATTCAAAGAAATAATGGCTAGGAAAAAAGAAAGAAAGAAAAGCACTTACATCTCCAGATACTTTTTGAGGGGGCGGGGGGAGAAAAGAAATAATGCCTGAAATTTTCCCATATTTGGTGAAAGACATAAGTATATAAATTCAAGAATCTCAGCAAACCCAGACAGAATAAATTCAAAGAGAAGCATACCTTGGCAAATCAGAGTCAAACTACTGAAAAACACAAAGAAAAACCTTGAAAGCCATCCTGTTACATATAGGGGAATGATAATTTGAATTACCAAAAGTTGCTCATCAAAAACTACAAAAGCCAAAAGGGAGTGAGTACTAAAAGAAAGAAACTGTCAAACTAGAACTCTATATATTTTAGTAATGAAGGTGAACTAGAGGCCTTACTTTAAAATAAGAAAAACTAAGTGAATTTGTCCCCAGCTGGCCTGCTCTATACAAAATGCTAAATAAAAGTTCTTCGGGCTGAAGAGAGATACTAGAAAGAAACTCAGATTTTCAGAAACGAGTAAAGAACATCAGAAATAAATACTATATGAGTAAACATAAAAGATGATTATTTTCTCTTAATTTCTCTAAAATACCTATGACTGTTAAAAACTATAACAATGTACTGTGGGTTTATAGTATATATAAGATACAATACATGAGATAACTCTAACAGCAGGGGAAGGGGTAGATGGACCTTATCATTAAAAGACTTCTACATTTTTCATGAAATGGTACAATATTACCTCTAAGTGAACTGTGAACACATAATGAAGTATATTGTAATACCTAGAGCAATCACTAAAATATTAAAGACACAGAAAATGCCAATAGATAAATTAAAATGGAATTCTAAAAAATACTGGAATAACCCAAAAGAATGCAAGAGAGGGGAACAAGACCAAGAAAACAAACCAGAGGGACTAAATAGAAAACAAATGATAGGGACTTCCCTTGTGACACAGTGGTTGAGAATCCACCTGCCAATGCAGGGGACAGGGGTTCGAGCCCTGGTCCGGGAAGATCCCACATGCCGCAGAGCAACTAAGCCCGTGGGCCACAACTACTGAAGCTCGTGCGCCTAGAGCCCGTGCTCCGCAACAAGAGAAGCCATCGCACAGCAACAAAGACTCAACGCAGCCAAAAATAAAATAATAAAATGAAATAAAAAGTAATCAAATAATAATAATAAAATGGCAGACCTAAATAAATTGAGCCATATCAATAATAATTGTCAATGGACAGTATACTTCAATATAAGACAGAATATCAGAATATATAAAAAAAACCAAGACCTAACTATGTATTGTCAATAGGAGATGTATTGAATATTTACCTTAAATAGAGAGACACAGATCAGTTAAAAATAAGTGGATGGAAAAAGATATACCATACAAACAGTAAACATAAGAGGGCAGAAAGGGTAATATTAATACCAGATGGAATAGACT